GTCGGTCTCGACCCAGTTTCAGCTCCGCTTAGGCCACTCGACAGAGGCGCGATGCAGTGGATGGGAGAAGGAATGTCGGCGGGCGCACGGATCATAAAGAGCCAGACAGACTCCAGCTGCAGATCTTGTTTTCCAAAGACAGGGGACAAATTAGCTCCGGATGGGCTGCAGCTCAAGCCCTGGTAGAGATGAGAGCACGGAGTGTGACATATTAAAAACATTCCTTTGACTATTGCACCCGTCAATAAAGACAGTGGCTTTTGAGAAGATGATGATGCTGGATGGTATGTACACCAGCTCATGAAGGCTTGGATATGTGTGTTGGTTATTTACTTATATTAGGGGTGCGACGACATACTCAGCCCACGAGGACGAAACGAGACACGATATTTTAAGGAAAACTTCAAAGAGGAAATATATTACTGGAAAGTAGCCTTTTATTTGATACATTTAAAAGTTAAAAAATGGTAAATAATACAGATATATGGTGAAATGTTTTAAATAATCACCATCCTCATATGCAGTAAAGAACACAAACTCAAATTCTCTCGTATTTGACTACTCAATTGAACATAAAATAGAATATAAATAAAACGATATAAATAACAAACATAAAACATTTTTTTAATGTTTTCTTGACTGGTGCAGTGGATTTAAGTAAAGAGTGATGATGGTTCTGCAAATGGCTTTGCATAGTAGTAGCGTTAGTCGCTGTGTACGGTATTATTTTCCTACAATGCTTACAGATGGTTCGTGTTTTGTCTGTCACCCTTTCGCCGTTTAAATTTTCCGCCGGGTACCCAACATGCTGCCATGCAAAAGATTTAAAAGTGTCTGGGGCATCTGCTGTGGTAATTTCCGTCATGTTGTAATATCGGGAGATCTCGTGACACGAGATCTCGTCACACCCCTAACTTATATAACAGCTGTCTGTGTCTCCTGGGTGAAGCACCTATATATAGAGGTGTGCGTATATGTATCCATCCATCTTCTTAACCTCTTATGCAGTGGAGGGTCACACTGAGCTTGCTGGAAGTGCAGGGCAGGGGACAGGCTGGTTGCCAGATCTTCACAGGGAACGTACACAGCAGCAAGGAATGGTAATGGACATTTAAAAGCACCAGCTGAGGCAACCGCATGAGGAAGCTGACATGAACTTGGTGAAAATGAGGAGGAATGGAAGCCGTGGCCTTGGCAGTGCGAGGGTGCAGTGCGGCCCAGTGAGGCTCCGTGCGGTGGTCAGCATATATAACCGAGATCTCATCCATCTGTTCGGCGGCGTCCACCGTGTTCAGTTCAAGAAGACGACCTGTGCGGGGGGTCGGTCGGCTTAGCACGCTTTTCAGAAATACCGTGTCTCTGTGTGTCTCCTGCGTTTTGGCTGAGGACTGATTAAGTTTCATCTGCCCTCTAACAGGCAGCTTGTGGGTGTGTGACGGGGAGATGGTCAGCTGCGATTAGGGCTGAAGGGTTGACCGATGTCAAGGGCTACACGCAATATATAAAAAGTGCTGGACTTAAGCCCGGAAAATCTGTGCGGTTCTGATTGGGTCTGACTAGCTCGCCTCAGACAATGGATCTGTTGAGGGGCTGTCATCTCCTTTCTTTAATAAATCCCATAAAACTCAGGTTGGATAGAGAGAGAGGGAGACTTTGAGGGGAGAGAGCAGAAGGTGTGCTTTTACTGGCGGGGGGGGGGTCTCTGTCACAGCTCACCTCCAGCAGACTGTATACAACACCCCCTCTGAAAGGGCCCCTCCCTGTTTCCCGTCGGTGCTAATTTACCTTCTCTGCGATCCGCACTCCGAGGTTAATGGGGAAGCGGCCTTCTCACCTTTGTCATTGGGGTGGGGGGGCGCTCACGCTCACATTCTGGAACCTTCTGGGGGGCTCGACCACTGTGAGCGTCCAGATACACCAGCTTCTGGGAACGAGAGATGTTTTTAGCACTCTAGAAAACTCACAAAGGAGAATGATGCGAGCAGCAGCTGTTCCCGTGGAAACACCTCAAAATAAAGTAGATAATGGAGCGCGGGCATCGGTTCTGTGTCAGTACCTCGAATCCACCGAAGGCTTTTGTTTATCTTCCTAATGGAATCGTCAGGGAAGCGCCGACGGAAACGGCCCCATTTCCTGAGCAAGAGGTGATTATCATAGGTGCTTAAGTAGGAAATTGGTTTGCAGTTGTCCGTGGCTCAGTGAGTCCCCCCCCGCCCCCCCAGCTCCAGCAAGGCAGTGTGCTGGAAAGCGACTTGAGGCTCTTTTAATTACGATTTATTACGGGGGTGGTAGCTGACTTGTTGTGTCGTCCCACCTCGTGTTTATGGTTGGCCACACGGTATCACCAGCTGCGAGTCGTTCATCCTGCAGCGTCGCATTTCGTGGCACATTTCTGGGAAGTGCAACACTGGAACCTGATGCCCACTGCTGACCCCGGAACGGGCCAGAAGGGGGTTCTGGTTTTGGCTGCTGGAGGCGCCGGGCCGGAAGATGAATGGGCTGGCTCTTGCTCTGCCTTTTCCCCTCTTTCCCTTTAACCCGGATCATTGCGAGCTCACGCCGGCCTGACGAGAATGCCCGGACATGTCGGCACTGGGAAGGCTTTGCCTCCCACACACTGCATTTGCAGCTCCCCTCCCCCCCCCCCCCCCCCCCCCCCCCCCCCCATTGATCATTCCAGGTCATGTCAGTATCTGGCTGGGAAACCCTTCCGTTAAAACTCCCACAACATTCCCACCCAAGTGCCGTCGCATTCCAAGGGCCGTGTCCGTGTCCGTGAGGCAGGCGAACATCCGTCCTGCTGCCGGGACGCACTTTTAAATAAAAGATGAGCCCCCCCCCCCCCCCGTTAGGCCTGAGAGACAGGATCTCTCTTCAGCCACCCAGCGAAGTTCGGCTCTCGCTAAGTTCAGTGACTCGAACAGCCAAACTCCAGGCCAGAGGAAGCCGTCGCCTGCTGCGTTTCCATAGGCAACAAGTCAGAAGGAAAGCTAGAGGAGTGACGTACGCAACAGCGGACGCAAGGAAAACCGGAGCCGCCTGATCCCACCTGGCTGGCAGACGGGCGCGAGGTCGCGTTCCTCCTGCCAGGTCGCCAGGGGAAAATCACACCAATGGAGCTGAAAGCAGAGTTACACTCCCCTCAGTTTACTGACCTGTCAAGCTACCGAGATGCACATCCAGCCAGGAAAATGAAAACGCCTGTTTATGTCGGCGCCTAAAGCGGGGCCTTGAAGAATTAAACAGATTGTTTTTCATTTCCCTGCAGTCGGGTCCTCTTTCATCAATGCCTTTGCAGGGTGAAGATCGACATTTTATTCAACGGCAGCATATTTTACTGCTAAAATGTATTGGCTTTGGAATGAACAGCAGTTATGTTGTAATATAATTAAATAACACTCATCTGTAGTTAAAAAGGGATGGTTTTCACAGTCCTCTGGAGGCCTCGGTAAACACTGGACTGGAACCGGATTTGAAAGATCGTGGCCAGGAGCACCGCCACGCCTCTGGGGATTCTGGGAAAAGTGCCTAACGGCTTCTAATGCGAGTCCGGGGTCAGGTGGCTTGCCGGATTGCTGCAGGATGTGATTGGCCAGGGTGGCTGACTGGTTGGAGGCGCGGACCGGGTCAGGCCTGCCTTTCATCTGCGTCTCTTGGTGTAACCGTAGCAGTGGCGTCGCTCTGCGCAACATACCCACAATTAGCCCCAACTTGTCCTTCGCAGCGTCGTAGGGGAGATAAAGTTCTGTAAGCTGTGAAAGTAATGAGTCATATCTGTGCTTAACACCCACGCGTAACGCAAAAGCTACTTATGATGTAAGACTAACAGCTCGGTAAATTATTTCATGTAAGTAAAATATTGAAATTGGTTTATTTGTCAAGCAAATAAATATTTTTTTTTAAATGAACTACAGAATGTGAACCGAAACCGTTTATTTATTTTTATTTTTTCCAATATAAACCCTATGAACCACAAAACAGTAACATAAACACCTGAGATATACTCAAAAGACATTATTAGTTATAGGATCACAATCATGCTAAAGTACGCTGTATTATCATACATATTATTATAACGGCTTTGTGCTAAAAATTAAAGAACGCCTATATAATTCTGCCGGTGCTAACGCAAGGGAGGCTCAGTGTTGCCTCAGCCCTCAAGGGTTGCGGGTTTGAGTTTGACGGTATCTGTGGGTGTGCCTGGCATGCTGCCCAGGGCGCCCCCTGTCTTCTGCCCTCAAACGCCGGGGACAGGCTCCAGCTGCATGGTGCGAATCCCGTCAGCAGCAGGATAATCGTATCACTGTTTCACTCTTGGGGCCTTTAACCCCTTAAACTGCTCTGAGAGATGACTCTCACCCCGTCACACTCACCTGTATGGGTGTGTGCCTCATGGGAGAGCGAGATGGGACACGGCAGTATTGAATATCTTCGTACTTGCTAGCTGTACAATGACAATAAAGGCATCCAGCTCTGTTATACGGCAGGCATTTCTCTCCAAGGTGACTTGCAGGCTGAGGTAATAAGCAGCGGTACTCAGTAAATATGACTCCGCAGGAAATCGCTGAAAGGCTGTCGCCGGCTTACAGAAGGTGGCTGGATGGTCTGTAAGAGAGCAGCGTGGGTCACGTGACCAGGCTAATCAAGTTTTTCTTGTTGGGAGATGTGAGACAGCAGTGTTCGCTGCAGCGCTGCCCCCCCCCCAATCCCGCATGCCTGGGCATGCCTCGGCTGTTGGGACGGCATGTGGCCTCTTCTGATCATTCGCAGGAAAAAGCAGGAGCCCCCCCTCAGACAGCGGCCATGGAGCTCAGCTTGGCCACATCGCGGCCTGGGGACTCATTACTCACCAGAACCGCCGGAGCACGTCGGATCTCGGGGCTCCAGAGTCACTCCCAGTGTCGCCATTGAGTCATGGTACCCTGGGCCCCATGTCAAAGACTCGAGCCTGTTTCTGGGCCGGGGTGGTGATTTTGGGTATTTGCTCCTCACTCTTTCAGGGATGCCCGTTTTACACTCGATGCCGTCTCTACATCAGAGGACTGTGTTTGAAATGTGGGGGTATCAATGCTGCCGTTCCTGCCCCCAGTGAGGGCTCCCATCAGCATCAGCCCCCCCCCCCAAAAGGGAGCCACGCTAGAGGCAGGTGGGGACCTGTATGTCTCTATTCAGAGAACTGGGCGTAATTGTAAAATTATCTATGTTACCGACAGGGGTGATTCTAAGATACTCGGTGGTGGTAGAAGAGGGGTCACAATTCATATGGAGGGGCCAACCTTATCAGTAGACAAAGATATGTTTTGATTTAGTGAGTGACAGGGGAGTGGGAACTCCAGGGACCAATCAGCTTTGTCTGTGCCCCTGTGGCCACGCCCCTGTCTGTACCCCTGTTGACTGTCTGCGGTTTACATTTAGCTTCAGTTCAGCAACAACATATAATGTAATTGGCTAACTCTTCAAATGATCTCCTCAGTCAGTCCTGTCATCACAGGTACTTTTGGCCCGTTTGAGAAGTTACAGCTAAATACGTAACAGGTCTTTCTGGGCCAGGAGAGCACGCTCGGGTTCGACGCTAAAGCAGATGTTCTGCTTTTTTGTTTTGCATGTGTGCATTCAGCCACGATTCTGAGCGCAGAAAGTGCTTCACGCATAATGGGCTGAGAGCCGACTTGCGAACCCCCCGACCCCCCCTCCCAATTTTCCTTTCTTAAGAAGAGTCGTCCTCTCTTGTCAGGAAAAGAGGCCGCCTTGGATGCGGCAGACTGCAATGCGGAGAACATCTCCCGGCGGAGAAGGCGCACTTTCCTTAGCCGCCCGGTGCGATGGTACTCCAGTTAGATATATTATTGGAGGGCTATTTTTAGGCTGATGTGCAAACGTGCTAATCCTGCGAGCGGGAGGCGGAGAGGAGCCTCTCCCCGCTCATTCAGGCAGATGTGTCGGTGTGGGCCTCTCGTAGCCTCGTCTCGAGACCCTGTGACCGCCATGCTGACGGGACTGGTTCAGGGTCACCTTTGAGGTGCTCTGTACTGCTGTTTCCCTGTGTGTGTGGTTCTTCTGCCCAAATCACACGCCCCCTTAATAACAGAACGTAATTAATCATTAACGGGCCTCAGACTCGACAAGGTTAATGACAGCGCCTCGGCACGCCTCTTAAGTGTGACGCGTCTCCCTGAATATCTGTCACTGTCGCTCTCCTTCTTATAAGTCGTCCTGCCTAATGACGCCCCGCTATTCCAACGGGCCTCTGATTTAGCACATTCATCTTCCGCCGTTCCGAACGATGTAATGAAAGTTTACGCAGTAATTACACAGCTGGAGCTGAAACAGAACAAAAAACTAAAAAAAGATCCTCCGTATTCCCGCCAGTCGGGTGCAGATCTGGAACATACGGCATGGCTTTTTCTTTTTTTTCTGTTTTTTATTTACTCATGTTTTTACCTTTTGAATAAATTGACTCTGTCCTTTTTGCTGACGTTGCCCCTGGAGAGGGGAGTCGAAAAGTAACGCTATAAAAAACTGAGGAGCAGAGCTGTTGTCTCCCGATGGGTAACGATGCGGAGGCGTGCTTGTAGGGGGGAGGGGAGCATGAGAGGGGGTGGGCCGGTTTATCTTCATACTGACAGAGAGAAGATCCCTGTCTTTAGTGATGTTACCCTCGCGTCTCCTCCATCATCATCGCCGCGATGACAGAGTCAGTGGTGGGGGGGGGGGGGGATGGGGGGCAGGTGCGGGAAGCAACACTAGTCAAAGGGAGCGATCGAACACCACTCTGAGTAAGCAGTTTTAGGGAGGCCGATGAGAAGTTAAGGTTGGAAAACTTTGTAAGCGCCCCCCTCAGTTTATTATTTAAAATTAGGGCAGTAAAATAGAAGTTGCCCCTGCAGAAGCTCACGGTGACCTATTTCGGCTCCGCTTATAGTAAGAGCAGAGGAGCAGCCCGTGTTTGCCGAATGTAGCAGCCTGGTGTGCGTGAACTTTGACCCACGTCCCACTGGGCCGCCTCGGGTTAAGCAAAGCGTTCCCATCAGAGTATCCCCATGGCGTTCGGCACACAAGCTCCAAACCAAACACTTCGGAGCGGATTCTCGGAAGGTTCAAATTTATTGCACGTTGTGCAATCCTGATCTCTGCACGTGTGTTTATTGATTTAAAAAGCAGAGAGCAATTTTCCTTTGCCTGCCTAAATAAACTGTTTCCTTCAAGCCTGAAATTGATTGCTAGTTGTTTTTATGGCAGTCTATACTGTTGCATGGTCCATTGTTTATTTTTTTGAATTTCATTTTAAAAAAATTGTAATTTGTGGATTTTGTACTGGCTAAATAATTGTTGTATCCTTCTTATAACTTGATACCCTGTTTTATACCACATTGCATTGTTGACATCATCCATTTACAAATTAAATTGAGTTTTCTTCCATTTTGTTCCGTCTGATCGCCAAATAAATATGTAATATTCAGTTTGTCCCTCATGATTAACGGAGGGAATGGAAATTATTCAGAGTGACACAGAGTTCATTGTTTTCATTTGTGCTTTGAGGCTACATGACAAGGGATTTTTTAAAAGGTTTCTCGGAAAAAGCATTTAGTGACTGCCTCAGTATCAAGAGATTTGCAGAAGAGTAAATTAATTTGATTATTTTTTTTCCCCTCCAAACAAAAAAAAATGTAGTCAGCTGAAGAAAGCAGTCAGTGACAGTATTTCATGGCTTTGAAATAACTGACTTTACTATTGTGGCTTGAGTTATCTTTTAGAAGTCATCCGGACGCTTTGTGCAGATTAATGTTTCCGTTTCTGCCGCCGATATGCTGGTGGTGATGCTGATACCTCTGGCGGGG